GGAACCGCTGCCCTCCGGCTCCCAATTATCATCGGAGTGGTGGCCGGCGATTGAGTCCATACCGCGAATCACACCCTTATATCGGGGCTCGTCTTTAGCCCTGTTATCACCGCCAGAGCTGGTGCTGGCCGTCGATGGCTCGCCACTCGTGTGGCCATTGGCTCGTCGGAGGCGTGCGTTCTCCTTGTGGTGCACGTCATCGGCGGTAATGTCGGACGGATTGGTGGCCGCAGTGGTTGCGGTGTTGGCGATGGTGTCGGTGCCGGTGGCGCACCGGTTGATGTCGATGTAGGGCTGGTTACTGGGGCTCAGTATGGACGCGGTGTCTGTGGCGGTGATAATGTCGCACAACTCGTCCACCCATTGGAGGCACAACTTCTTGGCGACAGCGGTTCCCATGGCATCCATTTCGGCGCTCATCTCGAGTCGCCGTTTGGCCACAAGTGACCGGATTTGCGACAACTTCTTCGTCTCGTTCAAAGACATCGCGGAATCACTTCTGGACGCGATTCGAGTGATGACAAGCGAGTCAATTGATCCCAAAAGTGACACTTTTTGGTGTCACCTGAGAGCTGATCCCAGTATTGGCGGCGGTTATGGACTTCTTGAGCGCTATGACAGGTGCCGAGTGTACACCGGTTGTGACACACTCGTGGTGCAAATGGTTAATACCTCGCACTATATGTGGTCCACTTAACAAGTAAAAAGTGATCAAGGCCAGTGTGTGTTGCACAGTGATTATGGCGCACTGATAGCCATGCACTTTATATACGCTAATATTAATCCCGTATTAACTGTTGGCGTAATGTTTAGTAATGTTTATCAAATATTATTGATTGATGCAATTGTACAGTACATATGTGTGACGTGGCACCTACCTGTCAAAATTGCAACTATTTTATGCCATGCTAACTTAGCATTGCTAAGTTTGCTTGGATTAATTCGGGTGGATATTGCCAAGGAATTGGATTTTTACAACTTTCTCTATTAATAGTAATATTGTTAACCTAGTATATTAAATATGTGAAATATACAACCACGTCAATCTATTATTAGATTAGATAAGTAAGGTTGATAAATTAATTTAGCTTACGAGTGAATGCTAAACTTATTTTTAAAAATAGAAACGATATATGATTAGGGTTAAATACAATTAAATTAAGTTTATCAGTGATAAGTTTTCATTGTAATTGATTACGAGGCAGATTTACTAATTAAATTAACTTAATGATAAGAATTAGTAAATTCATTTTAAAAAGTGAGTGAAATTAAAATTTTAAACTTTAATGTTGTCAGTAGGTTGCGCAATGTTGTCAATGATATTAAACGTTTTACATTTAATATTACTGTAATTTATTCATATTAAAGGCTTTAATAGTTAAAAATTTATAGTCTATTCTTATACAATGGTTAGCATAGTTATTATTTTCAGGTACAGGTGCTCTATACTGTAAATGTACTGTTATCACTGATAGTGAACTGTGCATGAATAATTATTTTACTCAAAATATTTTTAATATAATTTGCGAAACAATTTATTGCGGAATCGCTGGAAGGATACGTAAAAGTTTTGCACTAATTTTCGTAATAATTGAACAGCTATTCAGTAAAATCATATACCTATGTCTGATTTGTGTTTACGATTCATAAGCTACCAGGCACAGTTTATACAGTATTTATTAAATAAAAAACACGCATAATTACAACATTTAATAATGCAATAACTTTTGCATAGCCTTCCAGCGATTCCGGGACTCATTGTTTGATAAATTAAATCACAAAATATTAATCAAAATAATTATTTTGTACATTTTGTTCGCATATATTAAATACCATACACTTTAACATTTGATGGACACGTGTGTGTGTGTGTTAATCAATTGCACAGAATATTCTGTGTATAAGTATAACACAAATATGCTTTGAATGCAGTAAACATCACATAAATATGTGATATAATTGGTGTCATGTGTATAGCGAGATGTCTATCTGCGGGGGCGGGTATGTCAGTGTGTTATAGCCACCAGATGTGTGCCGGTGCTAACTAGTAAATCACCATGTACCTTTACAGAATATTCCACACTTGGCACCTCCCCTAACGCCCTCCCCCTCATTGAATTCCTACCACTTTTTTGGTGTCATTTTAAACTGTGTTTCAATAGCTTTTGAAAACTATTTCTCGTTTTCTTTCATAGTTTTCTGGTCTGACGTCAAAAACGCAGCGATTGTATCGAGAAGTGAATCAATGAATTGATTTCAATTAGTCGTCAATTGAAGGCAAAAGTGTTTCGCAGAAATAAAAACTTGTATTTCATGTATAATACGGTTTACTCGCGTTATTACGTACAGTATAACTGTAACTGCTGTACAAACAGTATACTATTTGCAAAAACTTCATATACAGTACTATAAAAAAATATTGTGTTAAGCTCGCTTCAAAATATTTATCGAGGTTTCTACAATAATTGATATAATTTTTAAAATTTGTTTAATTTATGACTGATTTATAAATTGTACGCAACTTATGGCATAATATTGAGAGAGCATAGGCGGCCGTACCGTACGGTAACGCTATCTGTAGGTGTGTGACAATACTGCGAGCGTACGGACAGACAGTGTTTGCATTACTATTGCAGCGAAAAAAGTATTGCAAAACCCAGTGATAAAAGTGAAGCGAAAAATATAACACAAAAAACAGTGCAAAACATTTAACTGTGAAATAACTGCCAGAGATTTATAACGTGTTTGAGTGATATACGAGTGAGTCGTATATTACAGCAAACATTTGTATTATATTTTTAATCATTAAATATAATAATGAAATAAAAAAATAATAAAAGTATTTCTCATTTGTTAAGTGTTTGTGTATTCATACGAGTGTTATGTATGTGTAGTACTGTAATAGCCGTTGAAAAATACATTATCAATGGTATGAGAAAACGCTATGAATTAGTAATCCATTGACACATCGTTTTGTGAATTAAAAACACAATTAAAACACAAAATTATTATTAGTTTTTTCACTTTTCATTGTACTTCTCGTGTGTTTGGCTTTAAATGACATTTAAATCTCATTTGAATTCATTTACACAGCGTTTGTAAAAGTCATGTCTGATTGGCGACCATATAATCACCAATTGTTCACTCATTTCACGGATAATTACCACTGAATTGGTGTCCAATACCGTAGCCATCGATATACTGGAAATTCATTTACACAGCGTTTGTAAAAGTCATGTCTGATTGGCGACCATATAATCACCAATTGTTCACTCATTTCACGGATAATTACCACTGAATTGGTGTCCAATACCGTAGCCATCGATATACTGGTCGCGCGATTAGCCACTCGTTTGCTGCCATAAAGTCTTGGATTTGTTTTTTGTTTTGAATGTCATTTTCATCCGTCATTTGATCGCCAATTATGTCCACAAATGTCATCACAATCGCCGCGATTGTCACACAATTACTGGTGATTATCATCGGCACCGTCGATGGCCTGCACGTCACCGGAGTCTGGAGTCCATCAGCGGAGCCCATGAAAGTAATTATCACTTAATTATACCACTCATTGAACGCTTGGTTTAATGTCTTCATCTCTTGATCTCCACTCTTGAGGTGATCGCCCGGTTTGGTGTCGGGAAGTCTGATCCGCATCACAAGGAGGACAGCTATGGCTACTTCTTCGGCAATGTCACCCATCATATGGATCCCAACGAGAAGTTCAAGACCAAGACCAGTGCTCTAGTGTTAGTCAATCGACAGCTGTTCCAACAGATCTATGGCATACATAAGACGAGCGCCAAAGTCGTCAATAAAGTGGTGAAAAACGGTGATAATAAGGACAATAAGACGGTGTCTGTGAGGCCGAAGACGTTCTGCGATAATATCTTCGATGTGGTCGACACGAAAGCCTACGACCAGACCTGCTATAAGGATAATAAGTGGGATCTGATCCGATTCGTGCCATGTCTTGAGGGCGCCGTATGCGATGGCGCCGCCAAGAGCTCACAGATTGTCCAGAATTATCAGTTCACTTATGTCATCGAAGACCAGACGGAGCCCACGTATGGATTAATTGATTTGTTTATACTTAAGATATTTGTGACAATTTTTTGTGTGTTTTAATGATCATCTGATTGTCTTAATCCATGTCTATATGAAGGTTAAGATAATTGGACGTTAGTGTCTTGAGTGTTAGCGTGTGTGTTGTGGTCCACGTGTGGATCTATTGATTTCTACAGACATTTGTGACTAATTTGTTGTGTATTTTGTTTATTTAAATAGTCATCCGATTGTCTTAATTGCCATTTAGTCGCTACGAGTGTTAAGATAATTGGATGACAAATGTGTTGAACGCCTGCCATGTCTTACGGTGTATATCCGCTACCCTTGGCTTGACATCCCATTTCCATTAGCTCCCAATGCTCCTAAAACAGCTGTTCCCTCTGAATGCCTGTTTTTAAAGCCCTTACCTTTTTTGTACGTTTTATAGCCTCTGGTAATGACTCACATATTTTTTTCGCTATATTTGAAATGTAATACCTGTCCAACACTTGATTTCTGCTAACTTACAGTATAATGGCATACAGTTGAGTGAACTTATTATCTAACTATCGGTTCACTCATTGAATTTATTAGCAATTTTTATGCACTTTCATAACACATGTGCAGAATTTTGTGTGATTTTCTGAACTACAGGTCAAGTCGTGTCAAATGATATGTCAATACAGTTGCTATCAATTGTAGTATCGATTCGTTAGATTGTATTGATTTTTACGGTTTTTCTAACGAGTTTAATGACAATTGCTATGCATTAGTCAGTATTGTGTTATGGATTATATACCGGAACTATAGTCTCGTTTAGTTTGTCAGTACATACTTCGAGTGCCTTTCCTCTTAATGTCTGTTTGAATTGAAAGTATAAGTAGTTTTTTGTTATCAAAAGATAAAATTGCAAACACTTTTACAACTTGTATATCAAATGACACGAAAATGTATTACAGCACAGGTATTAGTGTTTTATTGTTAAGAGTTTTATAAGTATTCAATAGTTTTTGTTATTTAAATGCCGTCTAAAACCCACACAAAATGAATATTTTTCAGCAAAGTTTTGTGAATTCATATAAGTTTTATAGGGTTTATAAAAATAGATTAGAAAATTACACACGAATTACACGTATGACTCGTCTAAATATAGATGAGTTTTATTGGGAATTAAATAAATTGTCATTTTATGGTCCATTTGTTAGATAAATAATTATCTTAGAGTAGTAACAAATGAGAATGTATTTCTAGTACAGTATATTCGCTTAGTTTACATTTAAAAACATGATATTTAATTCATGAAATGTATTATTGAATGAAAATTCTGTGTCAGAATTTTCCGACAGATATTTACGGTTATAATGAATATAACATATTATGATATTATGTTTTTTGCGAGCATTTGATGGAAAAATCTTTTTTTCCCAAATTAAACACACAAATCACACACAAATGCCACAAACATTTAGCTGTCAAACAGTTAACACAAAAATAATTGAATGAAAATTAATAACAATAATTAATTTTTATTATTTGCTTTTTTAGTGTATTGTATTGTATAATACAATTTGTATTGTATGTACAGTTTGTTTGCTTAAACTCACGTCAATTGTCTGTTTCTATTGTCTGTTTGTTTGACTAGGTTTTGGTTTTTACTGCTAATCGCGTGCTATCGTGACGTGAAGTCAGCCAATGGTACGCATAATATCACGTGTGAGTGGAGGGACGGCTCGTCGGACGACTCGGTACTCAAATACGACGTGTGGCTCGTGAACGGCCACCCGAGCAGCGCCTCCAATAAGCCCCTCGACTTTGACCACCAGTTCTCGTTTGAACAACAGGTCTGTGACCACCGCTTACGCCCCACACATGTTATGCACAGAATATTCTGACAAATTCTTTACTCTCTATGACCACATTCCTCAGGATCTGTTCCTATACTTACTGCTCATCATATTCTACATAATCCTAACGTCGGCCCAACTCTATGCGTTCACATCGCAAAAGATCCGCAATTTGTTGTCGTATTTGTTCACAATATCGCTGTCGACGCACTGCTTGTCCTACTTCTTCGTGGGTCTCCACAAGATTGTGTTCGCACACGACGGCCAGGGGTTCGAGATCTTGAACACCGTGGCCGACATTATCAGGATCTTATCGCTGGTACGGTATGCCTATGCGTGACATTGAATTTTCGCAGTGTTTTTGTGTTATTTCTATTTTTGGCACCACTTTTGGCACTGATTTCTGTGCACTGTTTCTCTCTTATCAGTGGTTTTAATCTGGTTTTGATTGAAACAATTGATTTTGATTTATAGTGCGAATTGTGTTTTGAAACCAAAAGTCTTTTTTGTCGCTTTTGTTATCGCAATAATTGATTTATTTTGTTTGATTGTGTGATTAATTTGTTTATTATTTTATGCCATTTCTGGTGAAACGCAGGCATTGTTTATACTATTTGTGATGATTATCGCGAAGGGATGGCCGGTAACTAAACCTGAAATCAGCGCAAAGCCACTGATTTTGATCGCGTGGATGGCCTACATTGTCATTGAAATCGGATTATTCATTTGGATTAAGGTTTGCGTCACATAATTGTCAACCAAATTATTAGTGACACTAATATTGACACAAATTTTGCCGGTTATCCTAGAAATCGGTGGATCCGATCGAAGAGATCGACGAGTACCAGACGTTCCCCGGCTGGATATCCATGGGTTTCCGGGTGTTCCTAATGATGTGGTTTCTGTACGAGTTGCGCCTGTCGATGATGTTGGAGCAGGATCAGAAGCGGCTCAAGTTCTACCTGCACTTCGGCGCCGGCATACTGGTGTGGTTCGTGCACCTGCCCCTCGTCGCTATGGTCGCCCTCCAGATCGAACTCATGTGGAGATATAAACTCATTTCCGGTACGAATTGTGTGATTATTTTAGTTTTGAATCCCTTATAGTGTATACATTGTACTAATAATACGGTCCACGCGGGACACCACACACGACAACAGGTTCACCAGCCGCTGGATACCCGGCTGAGCGAACGTGTAGTTGTCTTGTATGGAGTCGAGGAGTTTGGTGAACGACCAGAACGAGTCGGCCTCCACGCCCGCCAACGTGTCCGCCCCGAGCGTCGACACGTCGAACGACTCCACTTTGGAGAGCGCGTTGTCCGGTATGAACTCGGACAGGTAGGTCACGAAAAAGGGGGTCACCAAGTCGTTCATGCCCTGCACGTAGCCGCTGGCCGGGTGCCGGATGGACCAGATGTATAGTATGCGCTCAAAGATGCCCTGAACCAACGGCTGCTGGAATATGGAGATCAAGGGCTGCATCCGCGGTATGTCGATATGGATCTGACGCCAGATCTCGTCATTCTCGGGACGATTATAGTAATACCGGTTCACGAGGTCCTGATATTCGGCCCGTTTTCTGTCGGCAATCTGCCGGCGCTTCGACCGCACGATAGGCAGGTATCCCAACAGCAGTTTCCACGTTATGGGCCGCACCTCATTGGGAATGCCGGCCCAGGCCAGGGATCGCAGTTGGTTCAAGTCGGTCACCTCGTCGTCGAATACGATTTTCTTGATTTTGGCTAATTTGGGATCCGTTTCGGTGATGATTGGCGCCGTGTTTGGTGTCGATGTGGCGGTCGTTGTTGTCGTCTGTGTCTGGTTTTGGTTTGGTTTGCTATTTTCGTCACCTCTGGAGTTATTGGCGGTCGACGAGTGTCTTATTGGCTTCGATGTCGAAGGCTATCCCATAATAAGTGATAATAAAACATAAGTTTATATTAATATAACATAAATATATGAATATAAATGACTGAATAGTTTTTCATTATTTATATCCATTACTGGTATTCATATACTGTATGATTGTGTGTAATATATTGTTTTTATCATTAATTACATGATTGATGATAACCTCTCATAGAAATAAATAACAAGCAAAAGTGATTTTGAAATTAAACACAAAAATACTTTTACACAGAAATGAGGAAAACATTGAAAAATTCAATTTAGAAGTAAAACAAACAAAAATTGTGTGAAAAAAGTGTTTAAAAATTCTGCAGAAATTCGTATAAATATATTAATCAATGAGAAAAACATATTTTCAACTATAATAACGAGAAAATAGCACTCATTATATAAACTCCTAATTAAAAGCAACAGACAATTCAATTAACGTAAAAAAGTATTACAAAAAATTTAGGTCAAAATAATTGCTATTATTTTGTACACCAATTCAACAGAATATTCTCTAAACTACTAAATCATAGACAATATTCTGGACCAAAGACCAGCCTCACAGTCAGTACCACTAAATACCAGACACTAAAGACTTAAAACAATGGCTAAAACATGAGATAATAATAGCATTTCCCGGATCAACAGAATATTCCCTAAATTACTAAAATCATAGACAATATTCTGGACACAACACCATTTCTTATCACTAAATACCAGATAATAATCGCTTGAAAACAGCGGTGAATAATACGAGATAATAATAATACCGTCTCTCGGATGAGAAGCGCCGATATATTACTCGAAAGTCGGGAATCGATGGCCGACTGATTGCTATTGAAATGATTATTCATATGATTCGTGGCCTGAAGGCAGTCATCGATGGTTGAGTCCCAGGCGTCGTCGCAGCTGGCGGTGAACACTTCAAAACTGGATGAGTTGTTACGCTTGTGGTGATAGTGAGCGCCACCACCACCACCACTACCACCACTTCCCTGTCGGTGATGTGCGGCCCCACCGCTCAGTTTAGTGGGCGTTGTCTGCGAGGCAGCGGTCGATGGCATACCCGACAGACTACTAGTCCGTTGTTTCTGTTGACGATGTCTTTGATGGTCACCACCGGTGGCAGTGGTCACCGGTTGGCTCTGATTGGCGGCGAAGTAGTTGTTGTTCTTCATGATGACACGTCCGGGAAATTTAGTCCCACCGCCGACTGGTGACTGTCCACCACCACCACCACTACCTCCTAAACCACCACCACTTCCACCACTAGTTCTTTGGTTACTATCTGTTGAGCTATTATTCGACGAGAACTGCTTCCAGAACGTGGTATTCGTGGCACTCATTCCTCCGGATATCTTCGCGATGGCAATACTTTTTGTTGGCGTGAAAAGCGATTAATTATATAATTGCATGCATTATTATTAGCGTATTATTTGCTATACGTGTAGGTATTGCACACCAAAAAACTTGTTAATAAAATACACAAATAATTAATAACACAATGAGATTGAGTGCAAAATATTATTAATTATATTCGTGTATAATATCATAAATTATATTACATTTAATAATCACTTTATATATGGGTTTCACAGGGAGTTTGCGATACTTTTCATGTATACACTAATTATCGCTTCGCTATTATCAATGAGTTTTCTCAATAGTCTAGTGATTTGTATAGCAATACGTGTATAACTGTTGTATGAAATGTTAATTTTGATTTCACTCCAACAAATCACCCAGTTCATATAATTCACGAAATTAAAAATAATATACAAATTATTTGAGTTAAAAAATGGCAGAGAAACCACTTTTTCACAACATTTTCAGCGTTCAATGCATTGGAGACATACACCCTGTGATAGCGCATGCCTTTCCCCTCCGTGTTGGCAAACCATGTATTCAATGCACATGTAATGCAAACATAGTATGAATTTTTTTTGTTATTTAATTTGTTATTTATATTTATAGTCAAATAAATTTGGCCTTAATTTTCTCATTAAAACTCGTATCGAAAACAAACTTTTCGTTTCATTAAAAGCGATTAAAAAAGTTTTTCCTCAAAACAAACGATTAGTAAAAATCATTTCAATTGAAAAATACATTCAAAAACCAGTTTTGGGAAATCAAACGCTATTTTCAAAAACTACTTATTACTCGTCGCGAAGACATCGCCGGTGGTGTCGGAGTCGGGGGTGATGTCAGGCCAGGGGTACCACAACTACGAACGCCCGGTGAGGACCTCCTCGGGTGATGACGAGGAGGAGGACCCGTTAGAGACTATGCTCAACCGAACCGGTTGTAAAGAATTGCATTATTCACTGCAGGTATGTATCCATGAATGCCATCCATTAGATCCCATGCCTAAGACACACGCGTCCATCCCATTGATAACACAGGACTGTATGGCGGAGCACAGGGATTGGCGCCGGTGTCAAGACTTGGTCCAGAAGTTCAAAGACTGTATGATAGCCTACGAGAAGACTAAAGCCCACCACAAGAATAATAGCGACAAATGAATTGGCAATTAGTTTCGCAAATCGTTTATTAATAATCCAAATATTAGATTAATTAATGTTTTTTACAATCAATTTTAAAACTATTTAATAGTAAATGAATTAATGGCACAAAAAATGTCTCAAATGTGTTCATACAATATATGTTACAAAAAACGAAAAACAATAATAAATTTAATAAAAACTAAAAACGAAACTAAAAAAATATTTGGCAAAAAATATGAATTCAAAAAAAATGTAAATACGATGTCCTAGGTGACAAAAACACGCGCAGAAAATAATATCCTTTTTACACATCTAATTATAAATTAGAGTTTCGCTTAAATACATATCAAAAACACGTTTTTCTAATCATTAGCTAATCATAAGTTACTTGTTTTTCAATCGCCTAACGAATCAAAGCTACGCTTTTATATCACACCGCAAGTGATTATCATATGAGTAGCCGTTGGATCTGTTGTTGTGGTGATGATTGTCTCTATAGTTGGTGTTCGTGAAGTTAAACGTCTCGGA